TTTTCCACATCATCACTTTTTGGTTACATTATCTTCCACGTGGATTATTACATGACATGTCATCCGGTAACCGTTAAGTAACAGGTCACGTCACATAATTTTTAACGGAAGGACCAAATCGGGGTAAAAATGGTAAACAGTAGGGACTAAATCAGGGATTTTTTTAGTTTAGGGACCAAATCGGGGGTCCGTACAATAGTCCAGGGACCAAAAAGGGGTTTTAACCTAATATTAATATCTCCAATAACGGTTTGATATATTTAAAGAAATTAATTTTTTAAATATTAATCTTAATATTTTTAATCTTTAATATATATAAAACTATTATAACAATAAAATTCTTTTTAAAATTCATAAATAAGTACTCATTGAACTTTAAAAAAATCATCAATAAATATCCATTAAATTTTAAAAAATTCTCAACAAATACCCATTGAATTTGTAAAAAATATCTAATGGGCTAAATACCCAATTAATCATAGAAATTAACAGAATAAAAAATAAGTTAAAATATTTTATTTCAAATAAATCTCAATTAATTTTAGGTGTGGGTCCAATGTAAATATCTAAATAAGTAAACAAATTTTGCTGCGCAATTCTCGATTTGTTTGGAGGATTAATTGGCAAGATATTTATTGTGCCTCACTTAATTGCAATAAAGTTTCTCTACTGGGCGGGTTTTCTAAATTAAAGATTAATAAGTTTAACCCGAGCAATCTAAATTATTCATCTGTCTAGACAACCTTCAATTGATTTTGGCGTGTGTCCCAGGTAAACAAGTTTTGTACTATATATAATTATTTATATATATATCTCAAGTTATAATTATTTTACATATTTTTAAAACTCACACTACAATTCAATTTTGAATAAAATTTAATATCTTATTTATCAAGAACAAAAATTTCCTATTCTACTATGAATTTATATAATATATATATATATATATAGTTTGTTCCCCATTTCTATTCAACCCAACATTCTTATTCCACCTGATTTTATTTACCGTTATTTTTCTTTATAGTTGTTTATTAACTTACAATTAAATATAATTCTCAAACCATCAATAAACTAATTAAGGGACGAGCTTATCTAAGATTGTATTGCATATTCATCATATATGGAATGTAGTTGCTCTTAATATAATTGATATTGATATCAATGTAAGTCTACTTTATATTTTTTTAAAATTTAAAAATAAATATTTAACTATTATGTATTTTATTTTAAGATGACGTAACTACTTGTTTTGTTTTAAGATAATGCAATTTAAATTGTCATTGAACAAATACTAACAATAACTTTTCAACCATTATTCTATAAGGAACATGTGTTTGTGATAATTAATTTTGGTTAAAATAAATTTTTAAATAAGATCGAACAACGCGACCCGTATCTTGGCAATTGATGAAAAAATGGTTAATATTAAGTAGCACTATTTTGAGTTTTTGGATGACTTGGTGTAATTGCACCAAACCAAATATCTTTCTTTAGTTCGCGTCTTCACTTCGAATGAATCTGCAAAGTCCCGAGGTGGATCTTCGAGGTAGACACTCAAATGCTTAAATCAGCAATAATCGGGTCTACCTCTAGATTAATAAAAAAGGAGCTTTAGGTTGGTTTTAATTATCTTTTTGAGGTGACTCCCGGGGGTATTTATAGGCCTTTGTGAGGTGTCCATGTGACTTGCTTAACAGGATAATCGGAGTGTGACGTGTCCCTTAAGGTGGTAAATTCGGGACCAAGAAATTGTGTGCGATAGATCAAGTGTGGGCGTGTCCACTATATTTATCATGTAGCCATTTGATCGGAAGTGCTGGATTTAACTTCACTTTGGCTATTAAGGAATTATTACAGTACGTCCGAGGTGAAGGACCTTGGACCTATTCTTACACTATTCCCCTCTCGAAGTCATTCACTTGTGAATGATGTTGTTAGAGATAATGGAAGTAGTGCATAAATAGATAGAAAGAGGAATGAAAATATTAAAGATGAGTTATAGAAGTTAAAATAAAAATTGGTAACTCAAATTCACGTATGGTCGTAACTAATAGTGGAATATGTGACATGGGATCATGTTGGCTATTTCCAAAATAAAATGTGACCGGAATGATTGTGGTCGGAGCCGTAGTGAAAATAACGATCGAAGTCAGTGTGGCCAAAGCCATAGTAAGAAGTGATGACTGGAGTCATAGTGGCCGGAACCATAGTAAAAAGTAATGACTGGGGTCATAGTGGCCGGAACCGTAGTAAAAAGTGATGACCGGAGTCATAGTGGCCGAAGCCGTAGTAAAAAGTGATGATCAAAGTCATAGTGGCCGGAGCCATAGTAAAAAGTGATGACCGAAGTCATAATGGCCGGAGCCGAGGTAAAGAGGTAACGACCAGAGTCATTGTGGCTATAGCCGAAGTAAAATACTTGTAAAATTGAAAAATATTATTGTGAAAGTGAACAGAAGTGTTGAGTTGGGCTGACGTGGGCCTGTTTAAAAAGTCTGACGTAGGGTTAGTACGTGACATGATAGTTGTCTGTTGAAAGACGTGTACAATAAATACAGGCTGAAAAAAGTAACTGCTATAGTTAGACAGACGGAGTGGAAAACGAACCATCGAATTCAAACGATTCCCGTTAGGGTTGTACTGTTGAATTTGAAACGGTGTGAATTATGACCGTCAAATTAAATTAATCACAACCGTTGAGATTTATTTTTGCTCTAAGGTATATATAGTCATATTTCTGTAAAAAGAGTTTTACTCTCATTATATTTTCTTACGAAATTGTTGTCAAAACTCTATTGTGTTCTTCCTACCCCTGAACTGTTGCATCCTTTGTGGACTTCTACATCAAGTTTTCAAGACCGAGATCAAGTAACGTATGGGTTTTGGTGATTTGGATTTTTGAGTGTGTTTTCTTCTACTCTCATCCTTTTTGATTTAGATCTAAGTCTTTTGAAGGAAGGTAGGTTTAGAAGTGAGAGTGACGGTGAGTGTGAGTTAGAATTTCTGAAAATTTGATTTTATTTTCTTCTTCCCCCCTCTGTATTCCATGCAGTGAAAGTTACAAACTTTGAAGAGATGTCTTCTGAAGAAACGGTGAGTGTTGGGGGAAGTGAGGAAGTGAGGGCATTGGAATATGGGGATGTGAGTATGACTAGTGAGTCGTTTGACTCGGAGAGGACGAAGGAGGGGGTGGGGAGAAGTGAGGTAGTTGGGGTAGAGGGAGATAGGGTACCCATTACTGTAGTAGAAGTGGAGGGTAGAAGGGAAAGATGTTATGATGTAGATGCAGATATTGTACCTGAGGTGAAGCAGTATGAGTCTGAGCTCGGGACCAGGGATAGCTTGGGTTATTTAGTGGAAAGTTATGAAATTTCTTCTCGAGTTCTGATTAGGCCTGTTGGGGTAAAGGAGGGGGCCTATTCTGCACCTCGGGATCATTGGATGCCCGTGTATGCCCATTATTTGGCAGCTGGGCTTAGGTTTCCAATGCTTGAGTTGTTTGTGGGTCTATTATTAGATTATAGTATAGGGTTGACACAATCAGTCCCCAACGCTATGAGAGTAATAATAGGATTTTTAGTTTATTGCCGAGCTTAGGGGGTTAATGTGCCAACTGTAAATATGTTTAAATATTTTTTTGTTCTAAAGGGGGTAGTAGAAAGGACAAGGAGTGGTATTATTTCACCCCTAGAGTGTCAAATAGAGAGAGTAGGGGCTTATTTACAGCAAGTCCTTCATCCATTAAAGGATGGAAGGAAAAATTTTTCTTTGTAGATGACACTGAGTGGGGAAAGGAGGGATGCCGAGGTATAGACCTGGCAATTTTTTACCCAACCCGTTAACCCGCCCGTTATTCACCCGTTTAAAACGGGTTAGGGTCAGATATTCATGACCCGTGACCCGTT